GAGACCTTGACTACTGCGTGGAAAATGTGGCCCGAAGCGGCAGTGGCAGAGGAGTTGTATCCCTCGGCATGTCCATGGAAGTTTTGAAGCTTGAAAGAAAAGATCCGTTGCCCGGGAGGGAGGGGGGGGGGAGAGGGGCCTGGACATGGATGAGGGTGACCCCAGGAGCTCATCGAGGAGCACTCTGAGGAACTGACAACGGAGGAGCAAAAGGAGCTCCAGACGCAGCAGCAGGGGAGGTTTTGCCGGAAATAGGAGGCGAAGGAGGTTATTTCTACAAGTGGGATAATGGGAATGTTGGGAATATGTTAGAAACTTTCAGACTTTCTTCAAAAGAAACACCCAGAAAAGGTTGACATACGGCATACGACGGCGATATTTAATGACACTTGCCCAACTCATTTCGGAAAATTCTGAAAGGGATTCTGTACATTATACTTAATAAAACCAGTTTATTGCAGTGCATTCTGTTGTACTGTCTTTATACAATACTTGTTTTTTTTCATTTAAAAATGGCATTTCATTTCTTTTCATTGGAGAAACCGATTTAACATACGAGTAATTTGAGTTATATTATGGCGTGCATAAAAACACTATCATGTGTAAAGCCATTAGCTAAAGATGGCACCTGCAAACTCAAGCAAAATCGAGCTCCACGTGGGCTCCACGTGTCTTCCGCGTGAGCTCCACGTTGGTTTCCAAAACAAGCGCCTCAGCGGAAACCATGGTGACAGTTATGGCTGACCCTATCTGAACTGGCAGATTATCTCCAGAAGTCACCGGTCATGAACACCAGCTCCTGGCCCCCTGGGACTGCCCGTCCTCGTATCATACACACACACACACACACACACGCATATATATATATATATACATATATATATATATATATATATATATATATATATATATATATATATATATATATATATATAACACACACACACACACACACACACACACACACACACACACACACACACACACACACACACACACACACACACACACACACACACATACTATTAGCTACTATGTCTGCCTCCGGGCGTACCCTTATATTTATCAGTCAGTCACCTCATCTATCCATTCATCAATCGATCACTTTGCCTTTCATCCTATATAACCGACGTCTTATTTGCACCAATAATCAACTTATGAAACCCAGAATATCTTGTAAAATCTCATCCATTCCCTTTATCTAGCCATCTATCAGCAAATATTTGTATGCACTTACTTATATAAGTAAGCATATACAAATTAACCTTTTCGAACATCCTGGGTAATGTAAAATCAAGGTTTCAAGGACACACCAGCATCTCTCAAGCAAAAACTATTTAATGAGAGAAAAAAACGAAAAAATAGGATTTTTTGTGTGGTCTGTGTGAGATGTTGACCTCGAAAAATTTTCATAATCTTTGTTTTTGTGTTCTTTTTTCAGGCATTATTTTCGGTAAGCTGATTGTTATTTTTATTGTTGCTTTCATAATTTTTGCTGTTATTATTTTTACTTTTCTAATTATTACCTTTTTTGTTATTTTTAATGTAATGGTTGTTATAATAATATTGATGATGATAATGATAATAACAATGGAAATAATAACAATGATAATGACAATAAACAATAATAATAATATTAATAATTATTATAGCAGTGAAAAAAGATAATGATAATAATAACAATAATGGTAGTAATAATGATATTACTAATAATGGTAACGATGATGATATTGATGATAGTAATTGCAACGGCAGCAACAACAGCAACAACAAGAATAACAATAACAATAATAGTAATAATAAAAATGATAATGATAATAATGATAATGATGATGATGATGATGATGATGATAATGATAAAAATGATAATGATAAGAATAATAACAATAATGATGAAAATAATGATAATAATGAATAAAAATAGTGGTGATAATGTTGATGATGATAATTGTATTAATAATCATAATCATAATCACAACAAGAACAATAATAATGATAATGATGATGATAATACTTATTGTATAATGATGATGATGACAATAACAATGATTGCTATGATAATTTAGATAATGATAACAGTGATAGTTATCAT